GAAACTTTGGTTAAACCAATTAAACCTTTTAGTTCAAGCTCTAAACAAAAAAGGGCTATATTCATACTTTGTACTAGCTGCTGACAAAGAAAAGGTTCTAGACTAGTTAAAACCAAAGACTGTAGAGTCAAAGGTTTTGAAGAAATAAAAACCAAAGACTTAAAAGTCAAAGGCTCTGAAGAAACCAGAGCCAAAGACTCCAAAGTCAAAAGTTCTAAACTGACCATAAATTAATACATAAGATTTTAAGGTTCTGAAAGCTTCATAACCAAATGCTAAGATTGATTCAAGACCCAAAACTTTTAAACCAAGAGTCTTGAATGATCCCAAGCCCTACGTCGTGAAAGCTAAGGTACAAAATAAGAAAAAGCCTTTCAAAACTAACCCTAAATGAACCATAAGATTACGAGTACCTAAATATAAAATTATATTTGCATCATATATGTTTCAAGGGAGAAGCAAAACAACAGTCCTAGTACCTGGGCAGTGGCTGCTTACGACATATTACATGAGAAAGACATATGTTCCAAACCCTAACTCTGAAAGAGGGATGAACTGCGAAGTTGGGGGAAACCAAAAAGGAAGGATCATTGGTACATGTACTATTGATAATTCTTCTATTTTAATTAATAATGTTTGGTTAGTAGATGCACTAAAACATAACCTACTGAACATTAGTCAATTTTGTGACGGTGGCAATGAATTAATGTTTAATAAGAACAATTGTATAGTTACGAACGAGTCTGATAAGTCAATAGTGTTCAAAGGTAGGAGAAAAGGAAATTTCTACCAAATTATATACTGCATTTATAAATAAATACACAAAAGTGTGTAAAAAGAATGAAGTAAGCCAATGAGAACTTTAAATAAATTCCTGTGCCCGAAACAGGAGGAATATTTGATGTCTTCATCATTAACAACATGTTTGACTCATTACAAGTTAGATCCCATCAGGTGAAAATGTGAAACATCTAGCAAGACTTATAAATGCATGTGGAAACCTCAAGTTCAAGAGCAAAATAGTTAATCCCACCTTCTGAAACTAAAAAGTGAATTCTTAGACCATATGATAAGATAGGCAAACTAGGATTTAGGCTGAATATCTTAATTGAAGAGTTCTACTATGATAAGCAACATCAGGAAGCGTCGTACACACACACACACACACAAAGCTAAATTGTAAAAAGAATAAGTTGTGCCAACTTTTGAATGTGGTCCCCTTATATGAATTCTGAGTTGAGTAAGAAATAAGCTATTAGATTAAAGGATGGAGGAAAGTAAAAAAATTTCCTTCTATATTATTTGACGCAACACCTGAGGACAGGTAATAATTCAAGTCTAGAGGTATGATAACTCACAATCTTGTGAGTTATTATAAACCTTAGCACTTGAATTTATCCTTTTTATTTAGTTTGTTTCTAGTTTGTTTTAATGAATTTTGTTGTTTTTTTAGTAGTTTATAAAGAATCACTAGGTGTTATCTTCTGTTACTTTTTATGTATTTGTTACTTATGTAGAGTTAACTTCTAATGAGGCCTGTGAGTGCTAACTACAAATTCAACCGAGTTTTGAATGATGTCAAACAAGGAAGGTAGTATATCTTAGCGCTTTTGTATATTAGACGGTATCAACCTACATTTAGATGCTCATTTGTCCCCTTAGCCTTAGGGTGCATAAAAGGAGTCTCTAAACAAGTTTTACAGGTCTTAGGCGTGTCATACACATCAAAAAATCATGTTTGTATGTTAAAACAACTGCAAAGACCGACCTATACGTGATCAGGTTGACCTATGGAAGCCTCAACTTTAGTATAGGCCAACACATCCATATTTCAGATCAATTCCAATGCTCCAAGAACGAAGCATGTAGGCTCTGCCCACATGTCGCCTCTCAGTTCGCCTCACAGATCGGCCTGAACACCTTCATATGCCGACCTATGCAATTTAAAACTTGAAAAATTCTTTTTGCATCTTATTTTTCTTGCATCCTTTTGCCCATTTTTTTCACATACCTATATATACTCATACATGCATCTTCCTCTAGATAAGGTTCCTAGTGAATAAAAACAAAACTAAACCAGATTACAAAGGTACCATCATGTTCATCCCTTCTTTTATGAATACACACAATTAAACTACAAATAATCATTGTTCGATTGGGTGACCATCTAGATTAGGGTTGATAAATTCCAATTAGATTTGGTGTAACCGAGAATATTGGGTTGGGAACTTTGTGTGTTTCAAATAAGAAAACCAAGGTAAGGTTTTCCTTCAAGATCATTTTGATTTGAAGATTTTGGACAAGTTCACGTCATTACAGATTCGACTGAGTGAAAGCTTTGGAACAAGGTAGTTTCCTTGCAAGGGAGTAGCGTGAGACGATGAATTGTGTTTGGGAATCTTGGATTTCAACAAGTTACGCGCTCGGGATAATCGAAGGATTGTAGCTGCATTGTTGATCACTTGATCAAGCTTTGATCAAGGGTTTGGAGGTGGAAGAATAAACACAAAACAATAAGGTTTTTGGGGTTTGCATTCTTCATCTCTTGTATAAACGATTTTGCAAAGAAAATTTTAATAGCAATATCTCAATTCAATTTTGAATTGAGGGCAGACGTACCGCTAGCGAGGCCAATTGGGGAACTGCCTAAACAAATCTTGGTCTCTCTCTCTCTCTCTCTCTCTCTCTCTCTCTCTCTCTATATATATATATATATATATATCTATCTATCTATCTCTCTCTCTATCTATCTATCTATCTATCTATCTATCTATCTATCTATCTATCTATCTATCTATCTATCTATCTATCTATCTATCTATCTATCTATCTATCTATCTATCTATCTATCTATCTATCTATCTATCTCTTTATCACTTTTATTGTTGATTTTGTAATTTATCGAGTTCATCGTTGTTTGATCAATTCGATTGAAAGTTATTTTCTATCATCTTTTAAAAGTGTTGTTGTTGATATAATCATAATCACTTTGATTGTGATCGGCTTTTAACATCAACAAAACAAAATAAATTTCCAATTGATATCGATTGCACACCAAGTGTTCAATAAATTGTTTGTGCGTATTTTAATTATATTTTGGTTCATTGGATATACGAGTTACGATTAACATTGCATTTAATTGATTCGTAGCTTGATCATTGTTGAACATTTACGTTCACTGTCATTCTGTTTGGTTTGTGTTACGTATTATTTTTTGATAGTAGGTTCGGTTAGACGATTTGATCCGGGTCGTTTTTTCGCTGCACCATTTTTTAAAATAGATTTTTGCCAAAAGTATTTTTTTGGTTGTAAAATTTGTGATCTATTCACCATCTCTAGATCGAAGTCTATCATCTAACAAGGCGTTGCGTGACAGTTCTTGCATAACACTCTAACCTCAACTGAAATTAGAAAGCAAAATATAATGGTAGTTAAAAAGAGATGACATTCACTTTTCTAGGGCATACATGGCAACTATATGCATAATGGAGGACATTTAAATTAGATATGCAAAGGGATAAGATCAAGGAACTAAAGGACAAAACTCTGCATCATAGTACACCCACTACAACACTATGTTGTTGCAAAGGACAAATGCAAGACACAACCACCTGAATGCTTGTGCCACTAGCCTGCCACACGACACTTTGTCTCTCACATGATTATTGTACCTGGATCTGCATTGATACGAAATGTAAGAATTGGAGAGAATTATGTTGATTCATTTAGGTCAGAATTCACAAATATCCACAAGCCCATGATCCAAGACAACCCCAAAAATCCTAGATGGGCGTGACTATAAAAAGACCTCTTGGAGGAAATGCAAATAAGTTCAAGAACTCATCGAAAGAAAATTTAGTGAAAATCATTGAAGGAGAGTGAGCTGAACAAAGTGGAAAGGTTCTTATTCTCATCATCTCAAGTGTATGCTACCAGTATCTGGTGTGACAGAGGTCGTGTCTTGGTGATTAACGATCGCAAGAATGCGAATAATTTACTTTTAGGTTTTCATTTTTTTTATATTATGTGTTTAAGAATGTTTAGCATAGAAACTAATATTGATGTATGTACTAAGCTCAACATTAGCTAAATCCTTTTATGTTGAGCAATGTGAAGTTAGTATAAATATTTGTTTGTATTAAGTAATGTGTTGTTAATGCCTTGTTTTATCATGTGTTAAACTATCATAAATCTGCTTCTTTGATTAATCAATTTAGAACAAGATACAAGTTTGTTGTTGTGAGAGATCCAGCAATAAGTAGATTTCATGATAAAAATAATTGAAAATAGTAAGATAATAATATTCACTAGATTAACTATTTTAGAGATAGAGTTACAATAAATGAGGATATCAAGGATAAAACCAGACATGTATTAAAGTTACAAATGAAACTTCGAGATTTTCCCCCTTATTGTATATGTTTATAATGTTGTGAGATACCCCATAAGATAGATCTCTTATGACATGACATATCACATCATATACATACATTACACAAATAATATTAATGGATCATTGTTTACTCCAAAAACTGAACCTATGAAAACTATCAACTATTTTTATTATTGCTATCCTTATTAATTTATCACTTTCGACATCCTTATTAATTTACTACTTTAAAGGCTTTTAAGTGTTGATATGCCTGTTTGCCAATATTAGATGTAGTGAGAAGCAAATGTTGAAAAATGGAAAGTATAATTTTTCTAGCGACATTAGTAAATGAATTACTGATATAAAGATAAAGGAAGACTGAAGTAGAAATTGCATTATATATACACGGCTTTTAAATTCAACTATTTACACTAGACAGCCAACAAAGACACTTTAAACTGATGCCAGTAGATCTGGGAACCGTTACTTACATATAAACCATTAGGTCTAAAGAAAAATACAATTTTCTCAAGGGTTTATGCTACAACAAGATGCTAAATATCTAGCTTAATGTATACCATAATATGCACAATTTGGTCCAAAACTTTTTGAAGGGCATGAGTAGCTTTTACTTTCTCTTAGCAGATGAAGATATTTCAAAGTAAGTTGGTCCTGGGGTCTGCTGACAGCCAAGAGATTGAATCAATTCTTCCACACCCATAACTTTAAACCGAGAAGGTTTTTTCCAAGCAATGTTGTCAACCCGATGCTCGTAAATCTTACCCTGTTTATCAAGTTTATACTCAGAAGTCCCATCAAACCTACCACTGCTTTCCCATGGAACTCGTGGGATCCCGTGAACAGTCCAGCGAACCATAATAACATTCTCAACAGGCTGCCACACACTGTTTATGTCTATCCATAAAGCTTTGAAAAATATCTTGCCATGAAATCGCAGGTTCCAGAATATCGATTTGTAATTCTCAATACCCGTAAATGTATTCAGAGGATCCTTCAACACAATATCATCCCTGGAAAGAACAAAAGCAAATTTAGCAGATAAGAGTAGAGAAACATGAACATGGAGTTTACTATTTTAAAACAAGCACAAAAAATAACCAAACTATATCATGTTCCAAGCAAGTATTGGGAAAACATATTTCATTTCATACATTGAATGGGAGTGGAAAGAGGCTTAGGCCTAACTGAAGCTCCAAGAAGTGTAGTTTGGCCCTACTGGTCCCTTCCAAACACGGGGTGTGCTAAATCAGACTAAAATATGTTTGGACCTCTTTTGACTGAGTTATAGCATTGCACATGGCAAGTACCATGCAATAACTCACTGATCATGTTTGTATTTGAATCTCTATTCTCGATGCTAACATTTTGTATTTGCTAAAAAAGTAAAATGAGGATAGACCTATAATTTGAGGTTTGTCTGCGGTGTTTAGGGTTGTTGATGGTGTTTAGAGCTAGGTCACGCAGAGTGGTGAGAAACCCTGTATATGTGTTTTTCTGGTTGAATGATTCGATCCCTCTTCAACCTAAGACTGCAATATTTATAGAGGTCCCTTGGGCCTGGGTCAAAGAACCAGAGAGTGAATTATTCCGACTCCATGACCAGGAAACATGCGGAGAGTCGGTTTTAGCCTCCTTTGAACCGTGGAGGGACGGTTTCTCTGTTTGACTGCCCCTTTTTAGTTAGCCGTTGTGGGGACACGTCACTCCCCACGTTTTAACAAGCGGGTGAGAGACAAACTTGACGGCCCCAGTCCAATATGGGTGAGTTATTGCGAACAGTGGTGGCCAGTGGCTCAACTTCGGATGGCCTATGACGCTATTCCTATGCTCGCCCGACACCTGTATGTTTAACTCGTCTTGCTTCCCTTTGAACTATCTTCTCTTAAACCGGATGAAATTATCCCTGGACACATTTTAAGAATTCACAATGTGAAAGTTTCCCATAAATCATCCTTCTATGTTTTTCCCCTCCCACCCCAACACCGCAATAAACCCAAATAATGATTGTTTTCTAATTTGAAATAGTGATCATCAATCAAAGAGTAGAAACCACGCAAAAGGCCACATGTTCATTTGACCGAATCACTACAACTCCAGAGATTATTTGCCAATTTACAAAATCCAAAGACTATTTTTAACCGATGATCACAAATTCTGAGAATCAATTTATCTATTGACTCATATATTACATCTTCCAAACTCATCCTTGAAAACCTATCTAAAAATTAATTTCTATCATCTACGTATCATTATAGACTAAGCAAAATCATGATATCCTTCCACACTAAAAAAACAATAAATTATGCAAAATCATGAAACAAATGAAGTAAAATCCAAACCTATAGATGTCAAAGCTAAGTTCCTTAGAAAAGAGATCAGGAAACTCCTCCCTCAAAGTTCGTATAGCATATCCCATATTCACATAATAATTCTGTTTTTCTTCCTCTTCCTCTTTACTCGACCGTGAACCACTCTTTACCGGAACCGAAAATTGACCGTACTGCTTCACGTTCCTATCCAAATCCAAATCTAAAACCTTTACTTCGTTAGAAATTTTCACCGTGTTCTTTGTTCCAACTGCGTTCAATTTTGCATAGGGTTTGAAGCTGTGAAATTTCCTCAATTTAGGGTTAGGGTTTTGTGCGAATTGAGGAGCAACGTGAACCTCAGGGTAGTGTAATAGAAGCGACATTGAAAAAGCTTAGAAAATTAAGGAAAATTCAATTTTTTTCTCCAAAAATACGAACGAGGGAATTTATTTAATGAAGTGAAAAAGGAGATTAAGTTATGGATAATTGGATTTATTTTGTTATTAAGCGGGAAAATGTGTGATGGGTTGGATTAGGATTAGGATTTAGGATAGATTTTTTGGATTTGTTTGATTATTGCTTTTATGGTTTTTTTTTTAAATAGAAAAACGGTAAAAGACTCTTGTGAGAAAAAGTAAATAAATTGGATATAGACGAAGAGAAAGAAACCAAAATGAGGATAGGTATGGATTGTGGAGTGATAATGGTTTTTTTTTTATAAATAATCTATTAATTTAATTTAAATACTAAAATAATATATATTTTTAAAATAATTACCAAAATAACATACTTTCATCAATCATGCGTTATATCATATGACGACAACATTTATTTGTTTCATAAATAGAGTGCATGCGCCATCCCATATGGCATATCCTCCTTATTAATTTTTTATTATTATTTCAATTAAAAAATTAAATGAAAAATAATTAAAATAATTCAAAGAAAAATTAAATAACAATATTTGTAATATAAGAAAGTGTACAACAGGTAAAAAAAAAATTTCAATGACCGACCCTATCAAAATGTCCACCGGTTCCACATTCCGGTGCATTTGCGCGACATCGAGGTCTACCACGATTTTGTTGAGGTGTTTGTAGTATTTGTTGAGATGGTCCCGACATATGACAAATTTTAAATGTGGGACGGGGGGTTGGTGTGGACGATATGGTTGACCGAATTGGTACATTTAATTGTTTTGGAAACGATGCAATGGTTGTTATGGAGTTTGGTAGTTAAATAGTGGTTGGATATTTTGGTGGTAGGATGATTGTGTGTTCATTTGTGGGGGGCTATGGTGGGCTGGGGTGGGGTCGAAAGAGTAATGAGGGCTATAGGCAGATGTGGTGTCAGTGTCGGGAGGTTGGCGGTATGGGTAAGGTTCTTGTTGTTGTGATTGGATGGGTGGCATGAATGGGTTGCGGTCTGGAAGATTGATTGGGTGGGTAGTCTTGGTTGTTGGGTAAAACACGGTGTTTGATGTTGGGCATGTGTTTGTTGTTGTGTGTGCGAGGAAGAAGCATGTTGGCGCGGATCAATCAAATATGTCAGCTCAGACACAAATTGTTGTGTTGTTGTAACCGACCTAAACTAAATCATATATTGATGACTTGGTCTAGCCCCTTCCACAACAGGGTCGGCTAAGATGTTCCGATGTCAATTCTTCCAATGTATACACATCTCTTTTGCAAAGTCTTTCCAATCATCTACACCCCATTGTGCATACACCCTCAGTTGATGTCAGACTCACAAAGACGTCAGAGCAACTGGAATATCTTGATGCATGTCGAATTGTAGTTTCACCCGATCACTTTGGTGCATCTCCACTGTAGTGAACTGAATGATCGGTGTTTTAGTTGTCCACACTGCATCATCATTGGCGTTGGGCTGATGGTTGAGATCCTCATATGGCCTCTAGACAAACTACATGAACAAAAGATTTAATGAGAAAAATTACAATGTGGTAATTTAATAGACAAATTTATTGTAGTGTAAGAATAAATTACATCGTTCGACCCAATGTGTTCTAAAAGCTCGCGGTAGACGATTATTAAGTTTCTCTGACATCGTTAGTAATTCATTCCCGGAATTGACCACCTAAAAAAAGTGACACAAAAAAATTAGTTACAAAGAAACATTTCATCAAAGTATACATGTTTAATATTTAAAAATAAACTTACTTGTTTGCGTAGGGGAATGTGAATGGATTGTGGTTGATAGGAGCTAGTGTTGGCATTCTAGACCAACCCCATGCTTGAAGTAGATGGCGCAGTCATAAAAAGTACAAGTTTTTTTTTTTGAATTTTTACAGTGAACTATATAGATGGGTCAGGACAGCTGAACCCAAACTATAAGTGCACACTTTATTAATGTTGTGTAACAATGGTAAATACATAATATTTATAGTATTTCCAGTACTTTCTGGAAATAAGAAATATCCAAATAAGATCAGAATATAGCACCGAGTTTTAATTATCTTTTCATACTCGATGGATTCTGATAACGAGAAAACGCATCGATTATATTGCTAGGTTTCATTAACGTTTTATCGCATATTCACCGTTTTAACACTCGATTTCTCGAGTTTTTCTTACCATTTTGCAGGTACATCATTATATGGAGCTAAATCATGAATTAAGAGCAAAAGGAACAAAAGAAACCATAAAGAGATGAAGAAATGAAGAAGCCTACAAAAGACTGCATAATTTGTTGCAGTCACGGCCGTCACAAGAGTGTCACGACCGTGACACCCCAATTTGAGCCATCACGACCGTAAGAGAGTGGTCGCGACCGTGACACTTAAAAACCACAAGTTACGAACGTGAAGACCTTGTCACGACCGTGACAAGGGTAAAATTAGGTTTTTGACTCAGACTACGTCAAGGCATTACGTGAAGACCATTTCTCCTATTGGCATTACGTGAAGACCATTTCTCCTATTTTGTTGCCACGTTCCTGCATTCCTTCCACAAATTCAGCAAGGCCCATGCAACAAAGGACCAAAAATCCAGCCCATTAAGGATTCTATAAATAGTACAAGTTCTATGAACAAAAGGGACGGAGAGCATTTTTTATTCAAATTCCTGCGGAAGCTCTGCCGAACTGTATTACGAACCAGCCTTTCTATTCCTGCATTATTTTTAGTTTTCTGTTTCGTTTTTTATTGTATCCAAACCCGCCATATAACAATTTCCAACATCAGGAAATTGTTATACATTTATTTGTTTCTAAACCTTCAGCATTCGTTTATTTTCAATTTCCGCCAACTCCAAGCTTTCCGGTCTGTGGAAGAAGGAGTCTGCTCGAATATTTGTTAACCAGGTTTTTCATTATATTGCAATTTAATTTAATTATAATGTTTATTTATTTTTCTGCCATGAGTACGTTATTATTAAATTTTCTGTCTCTGTCTGGTTCAACATCGATGAGTAGCTAAACACCTTAGGGCGGTATGTAGTTATAACAAACTTAACCGGTAAAATATAACCATAGGCTAAAAATAATTAATCACTTAACATTCTGGCTGATACTTTTTAATTGAAATAGACCTTTTCGTTACGAGAGTAAGAAAAGAGTATTAGGTTAGGTCAAGACCACGAGAGTGTGAGATTTTAACCAGATAGCTAAAGTTAGGCATTTAAATTAAACACAGCGAGAGCGCTTTAAGATAAATTAGAATTACTTAGTTTCCAAAAATTACCTCTAAACACTTATGGGCTAACGAGAGCAGGCATAGGGCTTTAGGGATAAGATCTGATATAAGACCACGAGAGTGTGAGTTGAGGGTATTTAAACTGGTAATCTCTACCGAATAGATTAAGTGAACACCTTTATAAGCCTAGGTTAGATTGACCCACCTAAGTTAGTATAATTACATACCGACCGCCTTAGTATTACTTTATTAAAACTTAAATTTAATTCCGCCTTTAATAGTCTTAAAAATCAACAAAAAATCGTGACAACCATTCGCCTTAGCTAAACTAGAAGTTCATCTAGCACTAAGTAACCATAGAATCCCTGTGGATCGATAATCTTAAATATTACTTCGATAGGCTGTGCACTTGCAGTAAGATACCGCTAGACGCATAAGTAGACACGTCTTTAGCCCACCAAGTTTTTGGCGTCGTTGCCGGGGATTCCTTAATTGAGTTACTAGTGAATTTAGGTAGCATTGTCTAGACTAAGGTATCAACTATTTAATTTAATCTAATCTCCGAGTGTATGCCAAGTACTCGCTCTAAAAGCGAAGACTTGCAACCTCTAATCCCTGAATCGGAACGCTTCTTACACGTAAGAAGACGTATATTCGATTTCGAAAATAATTACAATATTCCAGATCTTCAATTAGATCCGCCTAAACCAGTCGTAAAATCAAAGGACGCAGAGATGGCTGAAGAACAGACTCATCCACTCAAGTATTACGCTAATCCTTCGCAAGCTGAACCGCATTCAAGCATTGCAGCGCCGGCTATCAACCAAAATGATTTCGAACTAAAACCTTCGTTGATATCAGCCGTGCAACAAAATCAATTCGCCGGAAATCCTACCGAGGATCCGAATCTTCATCTTTCGATCTTTGTGCAATATGCAGATACCGTAAAAGCCAATGGAGTTACCCAAGAAGCTATTAGACTACGTTTATTTCCTTTTTCGCTTCGAGACAGAGCAAGAGCTTGGCTTCAATCTCTGCCTTCGAACTCAGTAACTAAGTGGGAAGAACTTAAGAGAGTTTTCTTGAATAGGTATTTTCCACCTAGCAAGACAGCTATGCTGAGAGCTCAGATCAACGGATTTAAGCAAAGAGAAAGTGACTCATTATTCGAAGCTTGGGAACGCTATAAGGATCTACTGAGACTTTGTCCACATCATGGATTAATAGAATGGATGGTCATCCATACCTTCTATAATGGACTCTTGTACAATACAAGAATAACAATTGACGTTGCCGCGGGTGGTGCATTGATGGACAAAGAATATAATGATGCCTATGCACTTATCGAAAGTATGGCTCAAAATCACTACCTTTGGGGAAGCGAGAGAGTCGCAACCGAGAAACCAACAAAGGGAGGTATGTACGAAGTAAGTAGTATGGACCAAGTCAATGCGAAGTTTGACCAACTAAGCCAAAAGATCGATAACTTGGCCATAACACCTACAGCCACCGTGGCTGCAGTGACACCTAACTGTGAGTTATGTGGAGTCCCAGGACACGAAGTTTCTGATTGTCAACTATTGGCAGGAACTCCCACTGATCAAGTGAATTATGCTCAAGGAAACCCTTACTCAAACACATACAACCCAGGTTGGAAGAATCATCCGAACTTCTCCTATAAGAATAACAATGCTTATTACGCACCAGGTCAAGCACCAGCTACATCACCAG